CTGGCCTTATGATTGATAAGGCACTAACACCATCTGTTCAAAAACTTCTCCACGAGTTTCACAAGCACAAACTTTGACCACATCTTACAATACAAAGGCGAATTCTAAGGACAATCCTAGCGTAGCTCTGTAACCATTCACAAGCGCGCGCCCAAAGCAGTCAGATGAGTTTCCCGAGTTCACACAATGAAACCTCCAGGGAGCAAGAAACATCTGACTTTTAATCAGTCTCTATTCATCAAATATTTTCTCTTTAGTTGCCAAAGTAAAATTAAACAGTGAAGGCTATTTCCTTATTAGAGATAACCCCAGTTAGTGGATGTGATGATCGATTTTATATGTCAATTTGACTGGGCCATGAGGTGCCTGGATATTTGGTCAAACATTATTTTGGGTGTTCCTGTGAGAGTATTTCTGAATGAGGTTAACATTTGAGTCAGTAGATTAAGTAAAGCAGATTGCCCTCCCACATGTGGGTGGGCCTCATCCAATCAGTTGAAGGCCTGATTAGAGCAGAAAACCTGACCCACCTCCCAGGAAGGGAGGATTCCTTCTGCCTGACTGCCTTTGAATTGGGACATCAGCTTTGTCCTGCCTTCAGACTGGAACTGCACCATTGGCTTTCTTGGGGCTCTAGCTTACTGACTTGCTCTGCAGATCCTGGGACTTGTCAGCCTCCGTAATTGTGGGGGCAAAGGGTGAGCTGATTCTTTATAACACGAAAGAATTTCTTGAGCCACCGGGGCGCCTGGTGGCTCAGTTGGTTGAGCGTCCATCTCTTGATTTTGGCTCAGATCATCTCAGGGTTATGAGATCGAGCCCCACGTTGGGCTCTGTGCTCAGCACAGAGTGCCTGTCGCTCTCTCTCCCCCTCTGTCCTTCCCCCTGCTTGCTCGTTCAAGCTCTCTATGTCTCTAACTAAAAGAAAGAAAGAAAGAAAGAAAGAAAGAAAGAAAGAAAGAAAGAAAGAAAGAAAGAAAGAAAATCTTTTAAAAAATTTAAAAAACCTGCCTGCCTCATTCTCATGCTTGGCAGATAATGCGTTTTTTACAAATTGAAGGTTTGTAGTAACCCTGCATTAAGCAAGACTTTTGGTATCATCTTTCCAACATCATTTGCTCACTTCATGTCTCTGTGTCACATTTTAGTAATTCTCACGATATTTCAAGCTTTGTCATTATTATCATATTACTATTATTATTATTATTAAGTAGACTCCATGCTAAGCGTGGAGCCCAATGAGGGGCTTGAACTCATGACCCTGAGATCAAGACCTGAGCTGAGATTGAGAGTTGGATGCTTAAGTGACTGAACCACCCAGGCTCCCCACTTTGTCACTATTATTATATTTTTTATGGTGATCTGTGATCTTTGATGTTACTATTGCAATTGCAGCACCAAAACAATGCTCATAGAGGACGGCAAACTTAATTGACAAATAATGGGGTGGAAATAGTAGGAGAACTAGAATCAGGAGTGGAGCCTGAGGATGGGACCGACGGGCTGCAGTCTCATGATGAAACTTGATCCCAAGATGGAATGTATTCTGGTGAAGATGCCATAAAGATCGTTGAAATGACAACGAAGGATTTAGAATATTCCAGAAACTGAGTTGATAAGGCAGCAAGGTTTGAGAAGACTGACCCCAATTCAGAAGAAGTTCACCTGACAGTATGAACATAACCTTTATATTCATTGGGAAACAAAAAAATTCCTTTGATTTGCTTTCTGGCAATATTGGCTTTATTGCAACATTCTGGAACTGAGCCCACGATATCTCCGAGGTGTGCCTGTATCTCTCTCTCTCTGTCCACTCTATTGGCTCTGTTTCTCTAGAAAACCCTAATACAGTGAACATACTCTAATGTCTAATGACTAAAAAATATTCCTACAGACTTCTGACTTTCCCAGGCGGAAAATCCCCTTTTGAATGGCTTGGCCATGCAGAACTCATAAAGAAGTATGGATTTTTATTGACAAGAGGGAAATTGAATGTCAATGTTGAAAACATTCCAGCGCCGAAATACCACATGTAGGGAAGACGGATGCTCCACCAATTTTGCTTTATAATTCTGGCACGGTGAGTGGCGTGACTGAAATTAACATTATCCCACGTAACAGCATTCTTCGATGGAGACCTGAGAATGACAACCGCCCAAGGTAAACAATACAACGTGCAAGGTACTATCGGGGCAACCAAGAGGGACAGCGTGTACTGACTGATGTAAATCCGCCCGCATGAAGATCTTTCTTCTTGCTGACGCCTCCAAAGAGGTGGGCTTCTGAGGCACACAGCACTGGCTGTGGGTCCAGCTGCTTCCCTCGGCCCCGCACCTCCACCCTACTCTTGGCTTCCGCCCTCTCAAGGTCCTTCCCAGCACCAGGGCTAAACACACGCTTCTTCCACCTCTCAACTCCACCTCGCCCTTGACGTGTCCGGGTTCCTTCTGTCCAATACAGGAAGGAGGGTCCTTGCTTCAAGCTCCACCTCCCACACCGTCCACCACCCAGTGTGGACTACACGGCTCTTACCCAGAAGCTGTTTTTCCATCCTAGGAGCTGACCTCATTGTTCCTGGGGCTGGAACCATCTATAAGGCAACGCTTGCCAATTTAGGACTTTATAGCACTTCTGCGTTTGGGGCACGGGAGGAGCAGGGCTGTACCATTGTCTTTTGTCCTAAAGATGGCATTGACGACCTCCTGTCCCTGCCTCTGAGCGTGAACGTGGCTGAAAGCACAGAAGTGTGACCTGCCTGTCGCACAGGGATATAGTCTGCAAATTCACTAGTTTGGGAACCTCACTGTCATTTATAAAAACTGCCGGAGCGGACAGCCCTGCTTCCTGTTCTTGCAGACCAGCATGACGTTTTGGCTCAACTGAGCCCCTGTCATGGGTTGCCACACAAACATTGTCTGGAGATGTCATTTCCTGGCAGTGAACAATTATTCCACATGGCCTCAGGATGCTCTTGCAGTGTCTTCCCGCTATGGGAACCAGTCCTCAAAAAGCAAAGTAGAGCTAGCGTCGATCTTTCAGAGGAGATGGGCGGGAACAAAGTGTAGGCTTATTGGAAAGGACAGCAAAGACGGTCCCAAGAGCGCGGCTACACTATTTTGCTAAAAGAGGAACTGGCCTCCACCCACTCACCACCTACTGGTCCCAACCCTAATGTGCCTTCCTGTCCCTTCCCTGCCTACCACTCCGAGGTGGGGAAGGTGGCAGAAGCTGTCTCTCCTTTTCCATAACCACTGACCAGTCTGGCCACACAGCAGTGCCTACTGGACACCACTGTAGACTCTCAGCCACCCAGCTCATCAGCTCTATTTCTAGATTTTCCTCTACCCATGTGTTCTTGGCTATAGCCCTGACTTTAGGGTCCTCAGTTTCCGGACTATTTAAATGAATTTTAAAACCACCAATCCAAGTTGAAGTCTGCATTCTTAGGATAGAAAGTGCTATACTAGTGCAAAATAAATTTCTTCAGACGTACATTGGGAATAATTTGACTTACTACCTTAGTGATTCATCAAATAGCCAGTTAATATTTATTTGACTTCTACTTGGTGTACATCACGGTGCTATATGCTCAGTGTGAAGGTTTAGGAGCGGTTATATATTGCTCAGTAAATATGTATCTTTGAAAAGGCAATCGTTAATAACAATAGTTATTTCATATTTGAAATGGCAATGCCTATTCAATACTTAGGATTTTTTCGACAATAGGAATTTAAATGCAACAGGAGATAAAGGGTGAACAATTTCATTCAGACGTGGGGTTTCAGAAGGGGGAGATAGAACGCTAGTAATAAACGACGTGGACTTTCCTTACTGAAAAGGACGAATTAATCTTACACATATAAATCACCGAGGCAAAAACGTTGTGTAAAGCTAAACTGCTCATTTGTCTGGTTACTTGGCAGGAGAGGAAGACCCCCAGACCTCTGAAATAGCCTTTTTTTTTTTTTTTTTAATCCCAAGAAGGAAGAAATGGTGAATAAACAAAGAGGCTTGGGGCTTGGATCTCTGGAGGTGGCTTGTTCGGGGACACTGGGGACGGAGAGCAGGGAAGGGGGTATAGAGGGGCTCGAGCTGTCCAGGGTCCGGACTGCCTTTCCATACTTGGTGAGGCACCCCGGGACTCCGTGCAGCCACGGTCACCGCGAGAGCCACTCTGCAAAGCGCTGCTCTCCAGGCACCACGGCCTCAGCATTTGGGGTCGTTTTTCTTGCGCCAGAGGAAGCCCCACCGAGGCCCTTTCCGTTTCCCTACAGGGCGACTGAGGCGAAGATCACAGTCAGAATCCCTAACTTCACAGGCCGTGGCTTTCCAGTCGTGCTCCCGCCGCCACAGTGAAGCGACTTCGGAGCCTCCGTGGAGTTTCCTCGGCCAGGCGTCCTCACTGCGAGCGTGGGGGCTGCGGGCCGGCACCCCGATGGCCCTGGGCGCCCCCGCCCCCCGCGGGGCCCACTCGCGGCCAAGCAAACTGCACACGGCGCCAGCAGGAGGAAGGAAGAAGGCACCGCGCGCGGCCGGCAGAGACCGAGGGGCAGCCCCGCCGCCGCTCCTGGGCCCTGGGGGGGGGGGGGGGGCGTCTCCGGGGCCGAGAAGGCCGCCCCCACCGCTTCCGGGACTGCAGCGCCTCTCCTCGCGCCCCCAGGGAGCGCGCCTCCTCCAGGCCCTGCTTCCCGCGACCCAAAAATAACCGCGCAGCGCCAGGGACGCGACCGGAGCCTGCGGGGCGGCGCCTCGCCAGCGCCTTATCGCTCGCGGCCAGAACGCTCGAAAGCCGACCCTGCACCAGCCTTTTATACACAGTCCCCCGAGCCCCGCCCCAGCAGTGTCTCCTAGCAACGCCTCGCCCTCGCGCTCCGCCGCCTTATCGGCCTCCTCCAGGCCCTTCCTGTTCCCCTCCCCCGCTGGCGCGGCACGGCGCGGCGCAGGGGCGCGGCTCACGTGACTGGCCCCGGGGGGCGTGGCGAGCGGAGGGTGTGGGGGCGGGGCGCGGAAGGCCCCGTGACGCCATCAAGACGCGCTGGGCGAGGGGCGGTACCTTGTCCACGGGACCCGGAGGTCCCGGAGTTAGTTGAAATGGCGGACAGCGCGCCGATGGTGTGGGTTCGCTGCCCCGGCTTCGGCTGCGAGGCTGTGCAGTGTGCCTCGGCCCGGTGCTCCGTACGAGATGTGATCCACCGACACTGCCAAGATCGGGTGAGGCTCGCGCTTCCTGGAAGGAAGGGCAGCGAGGCGGACGGGGAGCAGGATTGGGTGGGGAAGAGGGTGGGTCGGGGCGCGTCCGTTCCTTGGGGTTTTCAGTTTTTGAGGCTGAGGGCTCCTCAGTTTTAAGGTGCTTCAGACTGATGCTGAGGCTTTGCTTTGCTTTTGTTTTGGGGTGGCGGTGGTTTCGTATCCCTACAGGAGGGGGAACAACCCCTCGGCTCACAGGCGCTTAGTTCCGCCCTCGGTGTGGACGAACAGAAACCCTTGGCATTGTTTCTTCGTGTGCAAATGAGGCATTTGGCGCAGATGGCTTTTAGGGCGCATTTCCTTCCGTTTCCGTTGCATTCATCCTGTGCTTCTATGATGTGCATGTTGTCCACTGCACAGCCCTGTTGGCTCCAACGTAGAGGAGTATTTTCATGTCCAGACCGAGGCCAGAGGGTGGTTGGGGAGGGCAGTGGGTTCATCTGGTCTCTGGTCGGGGCCGAGCACTCACACACGTGTCCCACACGAGGGCGTGGGTTCTCGGGGTCTGTCGTTTAGATGTTTTCACTGATCCTCTGATGGTTGCATTTGCCCGTGCATATTTTTGAAAAACTGTCACGGACTTCTAAAGTTACATGTGTGATTTACGGAATTAATCAAGCCAGTGAGCTTCTCTCAGCAGTGAGACGTTAAACCTGTTCAGTTACCTAAAGAATTTGGTGATCCATCGGACTCCCTGCTGAGCAGGGAGTCTGCTTCTCCCTCTGACCCTGCCCCCTCTCATGTGCTCTCTCTCAAATTAATAAATAAAATCTTTAAAAAAAAAAAAAGAATTTGGTGATCTCCCCAAATCTAATTTTAATTTTGGCCCTTGATCTAGTATGTTTTTTATAACCTCACTTCATCCGTATTTCCCTAGTCTGTTTCTTCTGCTTGTTATTTATAGGCTTCACACATGTTAACACTGCAGTGGAAACCGAATCTTTATTTGGACGAGTTCCATGAAAAAGCAACGTATCTTTGCAAATAATGTGGTTTTTCAGCCTCCCCATTTGTCTTTCTACACTGCAGTCCAGTCTAGAAACTGTCAGAACTGTTTTTGACCATCTGGGTGGGGAAATATCTTACAAAATAGATGGATTTTAATATGTCTGAAAATAACTCTTATCTCTTTACAGTTGATCCAAAATGACCAGAAAAAATAGGATCTTAATTATGAGAGTATTGGAAAAAATAATTTTAAATAGGAAGGAAGAAATACAAATGGATGGTTCTGTCAGGTGCTCAAGAAATAGGACCATAACATTTGTGAACAGAAACAAGAAACTTATAAAAGGGCATTTGATGAGATACTGGAAGAAATTAAAATAGCTCAAGTTCACATCTGTGCGTTCTGAAACAAAATTATTCTGACACAGGATGAGGTCAGTGTTGGAGTCCACAGAAAAAGTAAAAATCTGCCCTGCTGTTCTTCAGGCTAGGATAACAGACACAGAAAAAGCCAGCTGCAAAGTTAATAGGAAACAGTATTTCTCCCGAGGACATGGTGCAGTTGGAAAATGTCATAATGACTCCCTTGGAAGTCTGCTGCTTTCTGATTCACTAAGAAACCTTGATCTGGAAAATTATAGACAAGACACTTTGCTGTTTGAAATTTTATCAGTGAGAATGAAGCATCCCACTCTTGCCTTGAGACTCTGAGTCACTTTGATATAGAGAAAGCACTCTAAATTTCCAGCCCAGGTGCAGAGCTTCAGATTAGGAGTTTCTGAACACAACATTCCATATTTATCTTAACTTTGTCGTTTCCAAGGAAACAGGGGTCTGGATCCAGTCTACTTCACAGTCTGGACTTGATGTTGCCCCTTTGTACACACAGCTCTGCTTTGTTTTGAGCCTCTCAAAACACTTTCATTTAAATTTCACCTAAACTCCACCCTTGCCCCAAATCCTATAATAATTGTTTTTTTTTTTTAATTTTTTAAAAGATTTTTATTTGTTTATTTGACAGAGAGGGAGACCGTGAGAGAGGGAACACAAGCAGGGGGAGTGGGAGAGGGAGAAGCAGGCTTCCTGCCGAGCAGGGAGCCTGATGCGGGATTCGATCCCAGGACCCTGGGACCATGACCTGAGCCGAAGGCAGACGCTTAACGACTGAGCCACCCAGGCGCCCCAATAATTGTTTTTTGTTGGTTGTGAGACACCCAAGGATTCCTCTTGTGTGCAGCCCCCCCCCCCTTGTTGCAGTGAGTCAATGAATTTGACTTAGGTGAACTACACATTTGTCTCTGGTGGCCTTAGACTGATTGGGCTAAAACGAACACTACTTTGTGCTTGAAATACTGTATAAAACGCAGATGGTCAAAGACCCTTAAATTGATTCTAAATTTCCTTTATCCTTTTTTCCTACTAGTGATTATTGATAACAATCTTAAGTAGAAAATGCAATTTTGTTGATCAGTTGTTTTGTTTAACAAGCAATTCTGTTTGGAAACGAAGTACGGTGTATATAATAATCTTTCTGCCTTCACATTAATGTCTTTTAAGGTTGTTTAGATTTTTAGAATACAAACCCACTGGACACAGAAAATATTAAGAGAAGCTAAAGTAGCTTTTCATTCATAAATGTAAAAAACCATGAGGTACATTACATACCTCATTTAATCTGTACAACTCTTAAAAGTGGACAGTATTTTACAGACAGGAATAGTCCTTCCTGTTAATCACATGCCTGCGTGTAGTCTGAGCTCCTTTGCTCCTCTCTTCTGCTAGCGCATTTGCCTGGGAAAACGCCAGTTACCTTAAATCCATCGATTCTGCCTGCTATCTGGGCAGTGACACAAATCAGTCTTACCGTAAATGCACAAACACGGACTACCTTCGTGATGCGTTGCACTTCTGCTGTATATTCCCAGGCCAGAGTGGGCTTCTGCTGAGGTGGAAGACTGCGGAGATACTGATCCCTGCAGCCCTCCGGCAGGGGGGGCAGAATCTGGGGGTGCCTCAGGAGCTTTGCTCATTTCCCCGTGTCCCCCGGATGTGTTTTCTGTACACCATGTTGTGAAAAGGCTTGGGAAACAGTGCCGAGTTCATCGCTCTCACTCTTCTGCGTGACTCTCCGACCTCCTCTCTTTAATAAAATCTCCAGTACTTCTCCCATCTCGAGGCCCATACTTTGTTTTCAATGAGAAAATACAGGCAGTCAAGAGAGACCTTCCTCGTCCTCATTCCAGTGCCCCTACCTCGTTGCCGTACATTCTGCCTTCCCATCTTCCGTTACTGTGAATGACTACCTCCTGCCACGTGTGCCATACCTGATGGTCGGTTTCCAGTCCTCCTGTCTCTGGGCCTGTCAGCATCTGTGGGCACGCTCCCAACATTCGCTCCTTGGCACACTTTGCTCACTTGTCCGCACGTCCACCTCACTAGCCTTCCTTCCACTTCCTCTTGCTGCTGCCTCCTTGTCTCCCTGATCTCTGAACCTTGGAGCAGTGGCGACTGGGTCTTCTCATCTTTGTTCCGGAGCCTCCTCCCTCCTGCGGGACACTCCATCCATGCTCAGGGCGGTGAGTAGCACCGGCGTGCTGACATCTTCCAGATGGAAATTTCCAGCCCAGACCTTGTCCCCAGACTGCAGACTTGTGTCCCCACCAGGTTCCTCAGCATCTGCATGTGGCTGTAAGACCTTTCAAACCAACACATCAAAAATGAGACTGGAGGGGCGCCTGGGTGGCTCAGTTGGTTAAGCGACTGCCTTCGGCTCAGGTCATGATCCTGGAGTCCTGGGATCGAGTCCCACATCGGGCTCCTTGCTCAGCAGGGAGTCTGCTTCTCCCTCTGAGCCTCCCCCCTCTTGTGCTCTCTCTCTCTCTCTCTCATTCTCTCTCTCAAATAAATAAATAAAATCTTTAAAAAAAAAAATGAGACTGGAACTCTCCCCCAAACGTGCTTCTCACTCTTAACAAATGGCAACTCAGTTTCCTGTTAGTCAAGCCAAATGTTTGGACTCCTCTCTCATTGCTCTGTGGCTCTCACTGCCCACCTCCAGAACCTTAGGGGACCCCCCACCCCCGTTTCTCATCCCCTTCTGTCACTACCCCCGAGACAAATGGCCTTCATTGCTCACCTAGCCGATGTCACTGATGTCTCTGCTTCTCTAGTCTTATTTCCAGTTTAACAACTAGAGTGATCCTTTAAGAATATAACTCCGCTCTCAATCTGTTCCACACCCTGCAGTGGCTTTATTCAGAGTGAAACCCAAAGTTCTTACAGGGGCTTTTAAAGGCCTTCCCATTCCCCTTTGGTAGACATCTTTCAGCCACGTTGGCCATGTTGCTGTTCCACGAATACTCTGGGCTTATTCCTGCTGCCCCTCTTTACCTCTGGAATGCTCTTCCCCCAGATAGCCACGTGGCTTGTTCTCTCCCTTTCCTTCATTCTCTGCTAAAATGACACTTGATCAGAGAGGCTTTTCTTGACTAACTGTATATGTTAGATAGATGACCGGCACAGCCATCCACACACGCTATCCCCTTCAGCCTGCCTATCACCATGGCCATCGGATAGCATTCATCTGGTCGTTCTCTGTCTTTCCCCGCTAGGAAAAAGGCAGGGTCTGTACTTGCTGTATTATTCACTACAATATCCCAACATGTGAAAGTACCTGGCAAATAGGGACTTGATTAATATATATTGAATGAACAGGTAGATCCCATTGAAATGGCCGTGGGATGTGGTCTGGAACGAACATTCATTGTGTCCACTTCGGGAAGATACCAGTTGTGCGTTTTTCCTTTCTGTTGGTGTGTGAGTCTTCTTTCATATGTTCTATTCATCCCTTGGTCTGAGAATGTTTGAAATCTACAGAGTGGGTGTGGAGGTACTTGGGGCTTCCGCTGTAACTCGGGGACATGGGCAGAAAAGACCAGCTGGCCCTCCACCTGCTACAGCTGATGTAGGTGTAGGCAGCCCATACTGTTGTCTCCTTCCCTCCTCCTGTTTGTCCTTATCTACACTTTTCAGACTGTGTATTGTCACTTTTAAACTTGTGCAACTTGATATTACTGGTTTAAAAAAAAGTCAAGAGAAAAAGGGCCTTTGCAGAGTTAGTGGGTCTGAGCCCCATGTAGTTTTCCACCTTGACTCTGATTTCCTATCAGAGAAGAAGAGAGCAGTTCTTATCTTCACCTGAAAGACGACAAGTTCTTGTGCATATCATGATGAGGTGTTAGGAAAAAGTCATACCCTGAATAAGTCCTAGGAAGTGACTTTTTTTCTTTGGATTTTCAGTCCAACAAATACTAATGGAACACACGCTATGTACTTATAACCGGAGTAATAAAAACATAATGGGCTAGGCCCCTTCCTGCAGGAGACTTTTAAAAACCCCATTTAAACCTCATTTAAAAACCCCAAACTTGTCTCTAGGATGTTCCAGTGGAATGCTTCTTTGTGAAGTGCAATGGATCCCTCGTGGACACCAGTGACGGAGTGCGGCATGGGGCTGTGTATAGTTTGGAACCCAGGCTCCGAGGTGGAAAAGGAGGTAGGACCTGCATGTTGGCTACCTCTGTGTGTCACAGCCGCAGTCTCTAGCCCTGGGCAGCCCTCTGGGGTGTGCAGGTCTCGTTCTGCCATATGAAATCCTTTATTCACTTTCCTAGTTTTGAGTATTTTTTTTTTATTCTTTTTGAGGAATATATTGTCTGATTATAATTTCTTTTTTTTTTTTTAAGATTTTATTTATTTATTTATTTGACAGAGAGACAGCGAGAAAGGGAACACAGGCAGGGGGAGTGGGAGAGGGAGAAGCAGGCCAAGCAGGGAGCCCGATGTGGGGCTCCTCCCAGGACCCCGGGATCATGACCTGAGCTGAAGGCAGACCCCCAACAACTGAGCCACCCAGGCGCCCCCCGATTATAATTTCTACCCTTGCCAGCAGCATAGCTCTTAGGCGATTAGGTTCTAAAACTTTGGGGAAATTGGATGAAGAGAAAGGATCATTATAGTTAAATCTTCTGCTTTTTAGCAAGATTTTGTCAGGTCATTGTAGTTCCAAGGGAGGACTAAAGTCAGCCTGTGGAATATAGCCATTTACAGACTGGGGTAGATTGAGGTCGTTGTTGTATGAACATTATCTAAGAATAGAGAAGAGAAACTAAAAGCAAAAATGGAATATGGGCAGTTCTGGGTATTTCTCCTGATGCGCTAACATGTCATCCTGAAGCTTTCTCAGAATCCGCAGTGATTTGGTTTGGTTTTTAGAGAGCTGGCTGGCATCTCATTATAATCATCCTGCTGTTTGAAATTGTGTCAATAAGAATGAAGTTTATCATATCAACCAGGGAAAACTTAAAATTGCTTTTCCTTTGAAACTTCCTGCAAAATCTCACCATAGCATTTTTTAAGTTATTAATCTGGAAACCTTGGGATCTGTGGCACTAGGTAAAGCCCTCTAAAATACCCCAGTGGGGGCACCTGGGTGGCTCAGTTGAATAAGCGTCTGCCTTCGGCTCAGGTAATGATCCCGGGGTCCTGGGATCGAACCACATTGAGCTCTCTGCCCAGTTGGGAGTCTGCTCTTCCCTCCCTTTCTGCACCCCCCACCCCCCATTCATGTTCTCTCTCACTCGCACTCTATCAAATAAATTAACATCTTAAAAAAAATATCCCAGTGGTGCAGATACAGTATTTCAGAAATATAAGAGGAAGGGCGAGAGGCACAAGGTTGAATCAGGTTTATCAATATTTTTACCTTCGATTCCTGGGCAGAATCTTGATGTCCCTTTCTTTAAAAAAAAAAGAAAAAAAATTTTTTTTAAAGATTTATTTATTTTAGAGAGAGAGTGTGAGCACGGGAGGGGCAGAGGGAGAAAGAAAGAGAAACTTCAGCAGACTCCTCACTGAGCTTGGAGCCCGATGTGGGGGCGTGATCTCATGACCCTGAGCCAAAACTAAGAGTCAGATGCTTAACCGACTGAGCCACTCAGGTGCCCCAAAGAGATCATTTTTAATCTTGTGATATAATAGCAAGTTCACAAATTTGGCATTTATCCATCCTGGGACCCTTTCTTTTTTTAAGATTTTATTTATTTATTTGATAGAGACACAGCGAGAGAGGGAACACAAGCAGGGGTAGTGGGAGAGGGAGAAGATGTGGGTCTCGATCCCTGGACCCTGGGACCACGACCCAAGCCGAAGGCAGACGCTTCACTGACAGAGCCACCCAGGCGCCCCCCTGGAACGCTTTTTAACCTGCTTTCTCCAAATATATTTGCACAGGGTTTGGATCTATGCTCCGAGCGCTTGGTGCTCAGATTGAGAAGACAACCAATCGAGAAGCTTGCCGGGACCTCAGCGGAAGGAGGCTACGAGATGTCAACCATGAGAAAGCGTAAGCTGCCCGCTGTGTTAATTTCTTTGACGATAGCAACGCACGTTCCTGGCGGTGGTGGTCCACGTGCCGTGCATGTCGAACTGTAGCCTTGGAAGACGAGTGCTCTCACTCCTTCTGGCCGTAGCTCTTTCCGTCGTTTAATAATTCCCATCGGGCTTGAGGGGGTCCTCCCAGCAGGCCCGGGACAGTGTGGGTTCGTCAGGGGTGGGGGCTCGTCATGTATTAGCAGGCATGTGCGTGATCTGTCTGGTCAGCGCCGTGTCTCCCGCCCGCCCCAGAATGGCCGAGTGGGTGAGACAGCAGGCCGAGCGGGAGGCCGGGAAGGAGCAGAAGCGCCTGGAGCGGCTGCAGCGGAAGCTCGCGGAGCCCCGGCACTGCTTCGCCAGCCCTGTGTACCAGCAGCAGTGCCATGACATGGCCGAGCGCCTGGAGGACTCCGTGCTCAGAGGTGAGTGTGGGGGCGCCTCGCAGAAGCCGCACTGTCGCTCTGGAGTCTTCGTGGGTCACAGACTGAGAATCGGGAAAGCCGTGGGACCCCTCCCCTCCGTAATACCCAGAACAAGGGTGCCTGGGGGGCTCCGTCGGTTCGGCGTCCAACTCTGGATTTCGGCCCGCGTCGTGACCTTGGGGTCGTGGGATTGGGCTCCGTGCTCGGTGGGGAGTCGACCTGACCCTCTCCCTCTGCTCTGCGCCCTGTGTGCACATGCACTCTTTCTTAAATAAATAAAATCTTTCAAAGTAATAATAGCGATAAACAGTATGCCTTATACCCCAGAAAAAAAAGAGCACACACACAATATGTGATGTACTTGACTCTTGAATTCTGGGGGCCCATGGGCCCCAGGTAAGAACACTTGTGCTTCGTGGGGGATACACCAAGTCCTCAGGAGGTGTTGACCTTGTTTGCTTGCTTCTAGTTTTAGGCCCAGGTTTTTTTTTTTTTTTTTTTTAATGATTTTTAATGAGAATGATTAGCTTTTTTTTTAGCATCTAAAGCATTATGCTAGGGTTCTTGTGGGTTCCACTGAATAAAAAGGAATCTTTTCAATCAAAAGGTTATCACGTAACACTGTACAAGCAGTGAGTAGCAGGGGATGGACCGTCAGGTCTGGGGAGGCCGGGATGCACCCGTCAGGCTCAGGACTACAGATGGGCCTTTGGTTCCAGAGCCTGAATGCTCAGTACTTTGAACCTGTGTAAACTTGAGTCCAGTCCATTTTAGCCATATTAAATTTTGGAACGTTAACAAACTCGAGCTTAAGACTGCAATGTGGCTGTGTTTGCTGTCCATGCTGTTGGTAATGTTTCCAGTTATACTCACTTCTGATAGTGTAACTGATTTGGGAACATTTCCGGTTAGGTATGCAGGCTGCCTCCAGCAAGATGGTTTCGGCCGAAATCAGTGAGAGTCGGAAAAGACCCCACCAGTCAAAAACGGACCGAGGAGCCAGTGCAGGGAAAAGGAAGTGCTTTTGGTAAGTGCGCTTCATCGTCCTCCCAGGGAGGTCTGTGCAGCCTGACGACATTTCCTCTTGCCTGTCTGGCGTAAATGCTTTTTAAAGTAAGGTTTGGTGGGAGCACGGACGTTTCCAGAGTGCTTCAGTCCTCAGGTGTCCATGGCCGTCACACGGTGCATGCTCCTCGTGGTTTCTGTCCTGCGTGCTGGCAACGGAAGTGAAGGGACGGCTTTTCGTTAGTGAAAGATCAAGTAGGAATCCCTTTATACTTGAATGACTGACTGGTGCTGAAAGAGTTAACTTTCAGAAATTCTAGCTGGAAGCCATGGCTGTACTTTCCAAATTGTTCTGTTTTCTCTGTGGGTTTTCAGTCATTACTGAGGTCTTGTGGCCACCGCCAGAGCTCCCTTGGTCCACTTTTGTACTTGCAGCTGAAAAGCACGACAGCGCCTTGTCTTATCCATGCTGCTGCTTGGCGCTCCCCCTGCCCACTCAGTCCGCCGGCCACTAGCTCACTTCCCTTGGGCCAAGTTCTAGAAAATGATGTCCAGACGCATCTTGCTTCCTTGCTGGCCTCTGCTTTGGGGCTAGAAAGATAATTGTTAATGAAAGATCGTGTAACTGTGCAAGTCCAGCGGAGAATCTTGGGTGTTCTTTGTGAAATAGGAATTGAGTGTTTTTGAGAGAAAAGGTAGTGGGATTGTGCTGGGGGGCGGGGGTTGAATCAGGTTTATTGGGATGCAATTTATACGCACTAAAATTAATACTTGTTGGGGTCCCTGGGTGGCTCAGTCATTAAGCGTCCGCCTTCAGCTCAGGTCGTGATCCTGGGGTCCTGGGATCCAGCCCCGCATTGGGCTCCCTGCTCAGTGGGGAGCCTGCTTCTCCCTCTCGCTCTCCCTCTGCCTGTCGCTCTGCTTACTTGTGCTCTCTCTCTAGCTCTCTGTCAAATTAATAGTCTTTAAAGAGAATTCATACTTGCTTATTGACTAGATCTATGAGTTTTGAGGAATACAGTCATGTAACCAAGATTTGGACTATTTCCATTTCCCTAAAAATTGCCCATGTGCTTCTTTGTGATTAATTCCTGTCCCCCTGCCCCCCACCCCCGGCAAGCGCTGATGCTGGTGTGGTGTTTGTTCCGATGGTTCTGTCTTTTCCAGAATGTCCTGCAGCCCTCTGTGTCTGGAGTCTCTCACTTAGCACAATGCTTTTAAAATCCATGGCTGGGGTGCCTGGGTGGCTCAGTTGGTTAAGCGACTGCCTTCGGCTCAGGTCATGATCCTGGAGTCCCAGGATCGAGTCCCACATCGGGCTCCCTGCTCGGCAGGGAGTCTGCTTCTCCCTCTGCGCCTCCCCCCTCTCATGTGCTCTCTCTCATTCTCTCTCTCTCTCAAATAAATAAATAAAATCTTTAAAAAATAAAAATAAAAAAAAAATAAAATAAAATCCATGGCTGGTATTACATGTATCAGTGGCTTGTCTTTTTTGTTGCCAAGTATCATTGCATCTGTTTTTACCATTCTGTTGAGAGTTTGGGTAGTTTTCAGTTTGGGGCGATTATGAATAAAAATAGGATTTTCTTTTAACTTTTTGTTAATTTATCTACATTTGTAACCGTTGAGACTTGAACAAGATAGGAAAAAAAGCTTTAGGCAAAATCAATTTTGTTTTAAGATATTCACAACTATTTTTTTTTTTAAAGATTTTATTTATTTATTTGAGAGAGAGAGAATGAGAGAGCAAGCACATGAGAGGGGGGAGGGTCAGAGGGAGAAGCAGACTCCCTGCTGAGCAGGGAGCCCGATGTGGGACTCGATCCAGGGACTCCAGGACCATGACCTGAGCGGAAGGCAGTCGCTTAACCCACTGAGCCACCCAGGCGCCCGATATTCACAACTATTTAGAGGCAACTGGGTGGCTCAGTGGGTTAAACATCTGCCTCAGCTCAGGTCATGATCTCAGGGTCCTGGGATCGAGTCCCGCGTCGGCTCCCTGCTCAACGGGGAGTCTGCTTCTCCCTCTGCCCCTCCCTCTGCTTGTGCTTTCTCTCAAATAAGTAAATACTTAAAAACAAAAAAGAGATTCACAACTGTAAAGAAGATTCCCTCTGGAATTTTGGGATGGTTGGTTTCAGGCTCACTGAATTTTTTCCCCTCCGTTTATACTTCTGAGTATCTTTCTCTGAAACTTAGCTACTGTCCATCTCAAGCGAGCAGATCCTTTGATCCTGACAGAGGCTGTTCCCTGGACAAATGGTAACTCTGTCCGGCAGAGAAGCCGTGCGTGGTGTTAAGCCTTTCCGTTGCTCCCGGCAGGTTGGGCATGGAAGGACTGGAGACAGCGGAGGAGTCCAGCTCGGAGACCTCGGATGATGACTGGGAAGAAGCTCCTAGTACTTCAGGAATGAGCTCGCATGCTGCAGACAACGGCCTCGATGGTGTGGAGCTAGCAGCTGGGTGTCCCTGCCACTGCCCAGGGGCGGCCGTGGCCAGTGCAGCCTCTCAGTCCCTGGAGCCACTGCTGGCCCCAGGGCCGGGCTCGGCGTGTGCTGTCTCCGCAGACGTGTGTGCCAAGTCGGGGCAGATCTCTGCTCAGTGCCGTGTGGACAGGACAGTGGCCACAGAAACAGAGAACGGCCAGGAGGAGGAGGGAGGGGCAGAGGGCGAAGAGCCCACAGAAGAGGAGGCTGCGGGGATGGGACCAGCCCAGGAGCCCGAGGCGGAGGCCGATGAGGACAGAGCTGCCGAGGCCACACCTGGAGAGGCTGGGGGGAGTGCGCCCACCACCAGACTGGAGGGAAGCCCATCAGGAAACACAGTGAGTAGTTTGGGGTCCACAGTCAGAGCCAGGGCAGCTCGATGGCCACAGTTCCTCAGTAAGTCCTCAACATGAAATGTGCTTTTCGCCATCGGCTGCTGAGTGCGAAGCTTTGTTTCGTAACCAGAAGTACGGATGAGGGCAAAGCTCGCCTCGGCTCCCCAAAAAGTCCTTTGGTTTTTTCCTTTTAAATTCTGGAATGGGTATCGTTTTGCCACCAGGGGGCGTCCTTGGCTCCATAGTTTTTATCTGTTCTAAGCTGCAGGTTGATCACATTTTAATGCCTGAATTGGGGTGGATGTCCCACATGAGCGCTTAACGGGTGTGGTTCGCCCGCTGAGCAGGGAGCCTGACGCGGGGCTCGATCCCAGGACTCCAGGATCATGACCGGAGCAGAAGGCAGACGCTCACCAGGCGCCCCTCATGATTGGGAGGAGTCTGTTTTTAATATTTTCCTTTCCCCCCTCAGGATACTGGTCAGCAAACTCTGGATTTGCTGGCTTTCAGCTCTGCGGCAGAACTGGAGGTGCTGGGTCTGGACAGGCTCAAGTGTGAACTCACGGCCCTGGGACTGAAATGTGGGGGCACCCTGCAGGAGCGTGCGGCCAGGCTCTTCTCCATCAGGGGCCTGGCGAGGGACCACATCGACCCGGCTCTGTTTGCCAAGCCTTTGAAGGGGAAGAAGAAATGAATGTCTTCGGAGCTGCTTTTCTAGTTCTTCACAGTCTGGCGTTTGTAACCTGCAGAATGTTGATTCCTGGCCGTTATTCCTGTTCAGTAGTAAAGCTGACTTTTTAATAACCCAGTTCTGACCCTCCTCTTTTTTCATTATTGTATTTATAGAATTAATGTGTGAAATCATCTGGGCCTGCAGTGTTCTTCGTGGGATGGTTTTTTAGAACAGATTAATAAATACAGGGCTATTCAGATTTTTGGTTTCATCTTGTGTCATTTAGGTAAGTTACACAGTTGACCCTTGAACATCACAGGTCAGGAAAGCACGGATCCACTTATACATGGGGTTTTTTTTATCAGTACAGTACAGTACTGTCAATATATTTTCTCTCATGATTTTAATAACGTTTTCCCTAGCTTCATTGTAAGAACACAATATATAATCCATATCACATACAGAATACGTGATGTTCATAGGAGTCCCTCCTTATTCTTTTAACATCTAGGAGCCGTGGTGGTAACTGCTTTTTCATCCTGGGACTGGTGGTTTCTGTTTGCTACTTTCCCCAGTCAGTCTCACGAGGGCTTTGTCAGTTTTGTTGAGATGATTTTCAAAGAACCAGCTTCTGGCTTTGTTAATTTTTCTCAACTTTTTCAGTTTCATTGATTTCTGCTCTTTATCGTTAACTTTCTTCTACTTAGTGTGGATTTACTTTGCTCTTTTTTCTTTAGCTCAAGATAGGTCATAGGTCATGATTTTAGACTTTTCTAGTAGAAGTGTTTAAAGTTACACGTCTTTCTTTAAGCACTACTTAGGCTTCATCTCAGAATTTTTAATATGTTGTATTTTCGTTATCATTCAGTTGTAAATATTTTCTAATTTCCTTGTGAATTCTTTGACCCATGGGTTGATTATCTAGAAGCATATGGCCTAATTAGCAGATGTCTGTTTTGCTTCCTAAATATCTTATTGGTACTGATTTGTACTTTAATTTCATCAAGGTTAGAGAATGTGTTTATGATTTCAGTCTTCTTAGTTTGATTGAGACTCCTAACATGACCCAGTATATGTATGGTCTGTCTTGGTGAAGTTCCACGTTCACTTGAAAAGAATATGTACTCCAAAATGGGTGAATTTGTTCTCTAAAACCAGTTAGGTTACATAATTAATACTATTGTTGTTCACATCTTCTGTGTCTTTACTGATTTTTTGTGTCTTATCAGGTGTTGCAAGGTGTTAAAATCTTCTGTTATGATTGTGCAATTGTCTGTTTCTATGATCAGTTTTGCTTCATAGTTTGAGGGCCTGTTATTAGGTTATGCTATGTCCTCCTAATGAATTGACCATTTGATTGTTACGAAATTCCCCTCTTTATCTCTCCTGATAGCTTTTATGTCCAATTCTGTTGTATCTGAAGTGAGTTAGAGCTTCTCCAGTCTTCTAAGATGTACCGTGTGCATGATACACCAGTTTCTGGCTCTCTCTTTCTACTTAAAGTGAGTGGCATTCTTATACACAGCACATATTGGATCTTTTTTTTTTTTAATTTTTTATTGTTATGTTAATCCCCATACATTACATCATTAGTTTTAGATGTAGTGTTCCATGATTCATTGTTTGTGCATAACACCCAGTGCTCCATGCAGAACATGCCCTCCTCAATACCCGTCACCAGGCTAACCCATCCTCCCACCCCCCTCCCCTCTAGAACCCTCAGTTTGTTTTTCAGAGTCCATCGTCTCTCATGGTTCGTCTACCCCTCCGATTCCCCCCCTTCATTCTTCCCCTCCTGCTACATTCTTCTTTTTTTTTTCTTTCTTAACATATATCGCATTATTTGTTTCAGAGGTACAGATCTGAGATTCAACAGTTTTGCACAATTCACAGCGCTTACCAGAGCACATACCCTCCCCAATGTCCATCACCCAGCCACCCCATCCCTCCCCCCCCACCCCCCACTCCAGCAACCCTCAGTTTGTTTCCTGAGATCAAGAATTCCTCATATCAGTGAGATCATATGATACATGTCTTTCTCTGTTTGACTTATTTCGCTCAGCATAACACCCTCCAATTCCATCCACATTGTTGCAAATGGCAAGATCTCATTCCTTTTGATGGCTGCATAATATTCCATTGTATATATATACCACATCTTCTTTATCCATTCATCTGTCAGTGGACATCTTGGCTCTTTCCACAGTTTGGTTATTGTGGACATTGCTGCTATAAACATCGGGGTGCACGTACCCTTTCGGATCCCTATTTTTGTATCTTTGGGGTAAATACCCAGTAGTGCAATTGCTGGATCATATGGTAGCTCTATTTTCAACTTTTTGAGGAACCTCCGTACTGTTTTCCAGAGTGGTTGCACCAGCTTGCATTCCCACCAACAGTGTAGGAGGGTTCCCCTTTCTCCGCATCCCTGCCAACATCTATTGTTTCCTGACTTGTTAATTTTAGCCATTCTGACTGGTGTGAGGTGGTATCTCATTGAGGTTTTGATTTGGATTTCCCTGATGCCGAGCGATATTGAGCACTTTTTCATGTGTCTGTTGGCCATTTGGATGTCTTCTTTGGAAAAATGTCTGTTCATGTCTTCTGCCCATTTCTTGATTGGATTCTTTGTTCTTTGGGTGTTGAGTTTGATGAGTTCTTTATAGATTTTGGATACTAGCCCTTTATCTGATATGTCATTTGCAAATATCTTCTCCCATTCTGTCAGTTGTCTTTTGGTTTTGTTGACTGTTTCCTTTGCTTTGCAAAGCTTTTTATCTTGATGAAGTCCCAATAGTTCATTTTTGCCCTTGCTTCCCTTGCCTTTGGCGATGTTTCTAGGAAGAAGTTGCTGTGGCTGAGGTCGAAGAGGTTGCTGCCTGTGTTTTCCTTTAGGATTTTGATGGACTCCTGTCTCACATTGAGGTCTTTCAACCATTTGGAGTCTATTTTTGTGTGTGGTGTAAGGAAATGGTCCAGTTTCATTCTTCTGCATGTGGCTATCCAATTTTCCCAACACCATTTGTTGAAGAGACTGTCTTTTTTCCATTGGACATTCTTTCCTGCTTTGTCAAAGATTAGTTGACCATAGAGTTGAGGGTCCATTTCTGGGCTCTCTATTCTGTTCCATTGATCTATGTGTCTGTTTTTGTGCCAGTACCATACTGTCTTGATGATGACAGCTTTGTAATAGAGCTGGAAGTCCAGAATTGTGATGCCGCCAGCTTTGCTTTTTTGCTTTTTTCAATATTCCTCTGGCTATGCGGGGTCTTTTCTGGTTCCATACAAATTTTAGGATTATTTGTTCCATTTCTTTGAAAAAAGTAGATGGTATTTTGATGGGGATTGCATTGAATGTGTAGATTGCTCTAGGTAGCATTGACATCTTCACAATATTTGTTCTTCCAATCCATGAGCATGGAACGTTTTTCCATTTCTTTGTGTCTTCCTCAATTTCTTTCATGAGGATTTTATAGTTTTCTGAGTACAGATCCTTTGCCTCTTTGGTTAGATTTATTCCTAGGTATCTGATGGTTTTGGGTGCAATTGTAAATGGGATCGATTCCTTAATTTCTCTTTCTTCTGTCTTGTTGTTGGTGTATAGGAATGCCACTGACTTCTGTGCATTGATTTTATATCCTGCCACTTTACTGAATTCCTGTATGAGTTCTAGCAGTTTTGGGGTGGAGTCTTTGGGGTTTTCCACATAAAGTATCCTATCATCTGCAAAGAGTGAGAGTTTGACTTCTTCTTTGCCGATTTGGATGCCTTTGATTTCTTTTTGTTGTCTGATTGCTGTGGCTAGGACTTCCAATACTATGTTGAATAGCAGTGGTGATAGTGGACATCCCTGCCGTGTTCCTGACCTTAGGGGGAAAGCTCTCAGTTTTTCCCCATTGAGAATGATATTCGCTGTAGGTTTTTCATAGATGGCTTTTATGATATTGAGGTATGTACCCTCTATGCCTATACTCTGAAGAGTTTTGATCAAGAAAGGATGCTGTACTTTGTCAAATGCTTTTTCTGCATCTATTGAGAGGATCATATGATTCTTGTTCTTTCTTTTGTTAATGTATTGTATCACGTTGATTGATTTGCAGATGTTGAACCAACCTTGCAGCCCAGGGATAAATCCCACTTGGTTGTGGTGAATAATCCTTTTAATGTACTGTTGGATCCTATTGGCTAGTATTTTGGTGAGAATTTTTGCATCCATGTTCATCAGGGATATTGGTCTGTAATTCTCCTTTTTGATGGGGTCTTTGTCTGGTTTTGGGATCAAGGTAATGCTGGCCTCATAATTTGAGTTTGGGAGTTTTCCTTCCATTTCTATTTTTTGGAACAGTTTCAGAAGAATAGGTATTAATTCTTCTTTAAATGTTTGGTAGAATTCCCCTGGGAAGCCATCTGGCCCTGGGCTTTTGTGTTTTGGGAGATTTTTGATGACTGCTTCAATTTCCTTAGTGGTTATAGGTCTGTTCAGGTTTTCTATTTCTTCCTGGTTCAGTTTTGGTAGTTGATACATCTTTAGGAATGCATCCATTTCTTCCAGGTTATCTAATTTGCTGGCATAGAGTTGCTCATAATATGTTCTTATAATTGTTTGTATTTCTTTGGTGTTGGTTGTGATCTCTCCTCTTTCATTCATGATTTTGTTGATTTGGGTCATTTTTCTTTTTGATAAGTCTGGCCAGGGGTTTATCAATCTTGTTAATTCTTTCAAAGAACCAGCTCCTTGTTTCGTTGATCTGTTCTACGGTTCTTTTAGTTTCTATTTCATTGATTTCTGCTCTGATCTTTTTTTTTTTTTAAGATTTTATATATTTATTCATGAGAGACAGAGAGACAGAGGCAGAGGGAGAAGCAGGCTCCCCGCAGAGCAGGGAGCCCGATGCGGGACTCGATCCCAGGACCCTGGGATCATGACCCGAGCCGAAGGCAGACTCTTAACTGACTGAGCCACCCAGGCGTCCCGATTTCTGCTCTGATCTTTATTATTTCTCTTCTCCTGCTGGGTTTAGGCTTTATTTGCTGTTCCTTCTCCAGCTCCTTTAGGTGTAGGGTTAGGTTGTGTACTTGAGACCTTTCTTGTTTCTTGAGAAAGGCTTGTATTGCTATATACTTTCCTCTT